AAGGATTAGCTTTGAGCTAATGGCCGAGCGAGTTGATTCAAAAGGAGGCGTATACCTGTTTCCACAGCAACGGCAACGTTGGCCAGTATCATCCAATCAAAATGGCTCCTGGAGCCAACTGCAGCCCAAACAGGAAATAAGCAGTGAAAATCGTTCAATGGATGCATTAATAAACAAACGAGAATATTTTTTTATCTGCAATCATCAAAAGAGCCATATAAGGCTCGCGAGCCATAGGTTCCCGACCCCTGTGCTAAACCATTAGTCAAACGCCGTCATGTCTTCTGTCGTTATTACACAATCAAAAATCTCTTTACTGTTACTAGTGTTCGTGCCTCAATATGGCTACGCTCGTGGACGCAATACAACGACCTCAAACGCGTCTTCGTTCAATGTTGTCAACTAATATCCGGATTAATTTTATGCAAATTTTCCTCACTTCTCCGGATAAATTTTCATAAAAATTTGAAAAACCCGGAATTCCGGGAAAATCCGGAGGACTTTAATCTCTGAACATGTACTGTTATCTCAAGACCGGTCTCGAGTGTTGCAATCCTACAAACTTCAACATTCATTTATAAACCAAGGAAGTTGGAGACATTGCGCAAGAGCGCTCCGTGTTACGTGGGTCCGTTGTTGAGGGGGCCAACGTCAACAGGCTCCTGGAGGTTGCATGGGAGTTGATACAACCGGTGTGCATGTTCTTTGTGTTTACCCTCATATGGGCGCTTCAGATCCTGTCCAACTGGTTTGGACAGGGAGGTGCTCAGAGTAGAACGTAGATTGACTGGTAAATCATGAATTTTGCTTTTCGGTTCAGCTCCTTTGTCACCGCGACAGACCGAGACATATTCCTCACTGGAAACAAATCTGAATTTTTCTGGGCCATATGGACCGAACTCTGACACCTGACACCCGATTCCCCCGAGGGACACGGTCGAATGTCTTTGCTAAGTGCACAAAGCACATTTAGACTAGCTGGGCAAACTACTATGCAGCCCCCAGAACCCTGCTGGACCAAAACTACACTACTCCTCTTGAATCCGATATTCAACTGATGGAACCTTCTTTTCAGCACGTTTGAATTGACCTTATCAGGAAGGCTGAGGAGTGTGATCCTACTGTAGTTGGAACACCCCCGCTGTTTGTGACAAAACTACAATTGATTAGGACAATATTTATACTGCATAGTATATATTCAGATTCAGAAAACTTTTTTTATCCCCGTGGGGCAATTAGAGTATATATGATCTAAATTGAAATAATTAACCATCATATGTGGTGGTATATATTATATTACATGTGCCCCTGATGTAAAAGTAAACTTTTGACTAAACTGTGTCGATGACGTCAGTGTTTGTTGTTGTGTGGACTTTTCTTAATTAACTGCTTGGGTTCTTTGCCTTCTCCTGGCGTGACCGACCAGCTTGTCAACACCTCTGACCGGGTCCCCACAAGACTCATTTAGGGCCATTAATTATTCAAAATGTTTTCACTCAATTTTGACTTGACTAATGAGTCATGTGGGTGTTGCGCGCCTGCACATGTGTGTGTGTGTGTGCGTGCGTGTGGACACTAGTTGAAAAACCAAAGAATAAAACTTTTACAGACAGAACTTTTCTTAAGGGTAAGTTTAATTCCATTTTAATTTTAAATGGGCTTGAAATACCATAACATAAAATGTGTTCTTGGTCGTAAGCACGGTTTCCAAATGTGCGAAAGACATCTGAAGCGTTACAGGCTACAGTAGCCATACTGACCCGGAAGTACATAAACGCCCATTAAAAAATGTTTGCTTATTTAAAAAAACAAACAAACAAAAAACAACAACAACACAACACAAAACAAAACAAAAACAAAACGCAAGAGCGGGCAATTTGCCAGTAATGTGATGCTACAGAGCAAATTAAACCGTTAGCAAAACTCAAGAAAATCAAAAAAATAAAATAAAATAAAGTTGTCATAATAAAGGTAACCAACCAAATAGAAATTGATTTTATTATTTGGCACTTTCAGATGATAAAACAAACTCCGGGTCATACTGACCCATAGCGTTTTTGCTGATTCAAAGGGGAAAAAAATAATAATAATCCGCACGTGCCAAGATGGTGTCATACCTGGATGCGCCGATTCCTCGCTGTTGAAGGTTATCTCCTCATCCTTGACCATTTCGTTCCACATCTCGCTCAGTCCTTCTGCCGAGAAGGCCCACTGCCAGAGGAGACCAGACATTACCAAAAATAAAAAATAATAATAATAATCAACGCATTGTTGTGCTGGAATCCGGTTGCTTTAGTTAAGATCAAATACAAATTATAACTTCAATTCCCTACAAGAGGCAATCTTCAATGTATCAGAATTAATGGTTTGTTCACATTTACTTCCAAATTTCCCGATGGTGGAACTAAGAAAGGGGCTGAGTGCATCTCTCCAATAAAAAGACAATTTGATTCATATATCGATGTCTTTTCAAGTGAATGAGTAAATGTGATTCGCTGGCATCTTTTAAATCAAAACCAATTCTTCGATTCAAATCAGTTTTTGTTACACCCCTTTTATCTAATCTACGTGTATGCCCTGAAGATCTTGTTCATTCGCATGGAAAGTTTGACAAGTGACAGAATCAGGCAACCCATCGATTCATCTTTGTGGATTGCGTCACGTACCTGTAAGTCTATCTTGAGCCATTTGTCATGAAATGGGCTCTGAGCATCGAGGTTAAAAGACGGAGAAGGCATCTTTCCCCACCTCCTCACTCGGCTGCAAACGCAGCCAACCTGCAAACATGGGGGGGAAAAACAAAGATAACTGGGTGTAATATCAATCAAGTGACAGCCGAGTTGATCCGTGCAACATAACACACACGTGGCAACACACTGTCTGCTGCATATTGTGCACAGATGTCAAATTCAAGACGTGACGGCCAGGTCCGGAGCGCTGCATTATTTTACGCGGCCCTCTCAAGCAGGGGTGTCCAAAGTCAGTCCTCAAGGGCTGCTGTCCTGCCTGTTTTCAACACAACTGATTCAAATAATCAGGATCGTTCTTATGCTGCTTCAGGACTGACAATGATCATCCTTTGAATCAGGTAAGTTGGAGGAGGGGAAACACACAGGATAGTGGCCCTCAAGGACAGGAGTCTGACAGACGGATTTTAGAATAAATCAAACACTGGCTTAACAAACTTCTGCTTTCAAATGTAGTTATCCCCCATTATTTGAATGTTATTTTTGTCGATATAATCATATGAGAAGCCAATATCACCCTCATAATGAGGAAAAAACAAGATGTGGCCTGAAACCAAATTGAGGTTGACACCCTTGATATAGTGGAATGAAAATTATACTCAACGTACAAAATGCATTGATTACACCGTATGGTAAATTCCGACAGTAGCAGGCCACTGATCTCCTTCTCATCGTATGATGGCGACACTGTTGGAAACTCAATCATCAGATGTTTCCAGGCGGGACCAGAAAAATAGGTTGCTGCTGCATCTAAATTTAGTTGTTTTTATTTTAATCGCGACGAGAATGTCAGACGGTCGCCGTACCGTTAAACGAACAACACGTTTAAAATAAACATGAGCCGATATGTGAAATAACGCCGATTATTCCAAAGAGGAATTGCCTATGTTCATGTTTGTGTGTACTACATATGTGTGCGTTTATCGTGACATGACGATGGGAGGGTTCGGTAGAACATCATTATCGTAGCTTTTAAGTACCAGGCGGGCTGCCACAGTTAAACCTCGACAAGGCAGCTGCACATAAAAAATGTATCATCTGATTATTTGCGCTGATTTAACCGGGCAAAGTAGCGAACCCTTTTGCTCGGAGGCTAATGCTAAGTAGTAGCCTACCGCAATGGGAATACAACGTGAGCCGGAGCTAGTCATGCTAATCCAGCTGTCGTCATCCTAGCCCGGGTTGGAATACACCTCCGAAGGAATGACACCCGGGCGAAACGTTTTATGGGGAAGCCAGCAATTAAACGGCTTCCTAGTTCACGAGGAAGACTCAAATTACCTGCGGTCTTCCGCTGATGCCTTTGCCGTTCTCTTCTTAGCTCCTATGCTGCATCGTTTGGACTTGACAGGTTTCCGACATGGGTTCGAGGCATGGAGACTCACTACGTCGCCGATTAAGCGTGCTGTATTGCGTTTGTTTGTGTTACATTCCTGAGGCCGTCAAGTGGGGGTGTAGCGCCCTCAGGATGCGGCATGAATGACGACACGAAGTCCACGATAAAAATACAGGGTTTATTCCTGGCAACCCATGAGAACTGGTCCCACGAACGTGAAGCATACAAACAAGTGACATTACGTACCAAATAAAGACAACTACAAAGACAATTGCTTTAACATAAAACACACAAACCTCGTGGGCTCACACCCATAAGGGGCTAAACTTCAGCCGAAATCCTGGCCGTCGTCGACTTGCCTCAGACGGTCGGTTCTCGGCACTCTCGTCTTCTAACAAAATAGCTACACAGACCTTTCAAACAAGTTCTTTTAACGCGCGCCAGTAAATGTGTAACGGCAACTGGGGTCGGGTGGACCTTTATCCGCGATAAATGGTTCCGGCCAACAATCGCCACTAGATGGCATCAGAACACCAAAGAAACTGCTCAACGGGAACGATTGGCAGTCACAGGGGGGGTGGAGTGGATAACGGCCACGCCCGCTCGTTTCAAGGTTCCGCTCCGCTCGCTTGGCGTTACCATTAAAAAAACCACGCGCTTATTTTAAATTCAAGGCGGGACGTTAACTCGAAAGATTGCCGAAAATTTGACATACTGACTAGAATTGAAATACAGTACAGTATATGGGGAGAAATTTGTGTCCAAACAATTCCCACACATGTATCCATCCGTAATTTTTTGACATGTTTTGGAGATTACTAAATAGTTATTTTCACGTGGTTTTCAGATTTACAAATATGTACAATAATTTCACGGAGTTTTGGCTCAGTGAAAGAGTGGTCGTATCCCAACACAGAAGTTGGTTGTTCGATTCCCGACAATGTCGAAGTGTCCTTGAGCAAGATACTCAACCACCAGTTGCTCCGAATGATGGGTCATCATGAGGTCGAGACCTCGGATATCAAGAGGCCTTACATCTGGAGGCTGTAATGCTGTTGAGTGCCTTTGCCGTTCTCTTCTTAGCTCCTATGCTGCATCGTTTGGACTTGACAGGTTTCCGACATGGGTTCGGGGGTTTTTTTTTTTGCACAACTCCCGACTGTATTTTAACAAGAAGCTGAACTACATGAGTACATTTTCTCACCAAAAAGCAAACACATTAAATTTTGGTAACATATGTACATTTATACCAATCCAGAATTATATTTTACTCTTGTATTTTAGTACCGTCCATAACGTTAGCAAACCAATGTAGCGGTGAACTGGATTCAATATATTTACCAATATTACCAATTAAATTACCAAGTCCAATAGAAAACACACTTGAAAAACAAAAATAACAAAATTACACAATATACATCACAGTCCAAAACAGTCAATCAATGCATCCATTAACATAAATCATGTGCTGTGTTTCAGCCATCTTGTCTCGTGGGATATTTTTCCACAGCCAGTCTGACAAAGTCTTCAGCGCTGTCCAGGGACACCAGGCGATCCTGAACAAGCCGTGCAAAAGAGAGAGAGACATGCCGAGGGAAGTCCACACGCTTTATACAGCCAACCGCATGTCGCATGTCTTTCCATTCATTAACCCTTTTGTTAGCTGCTCTTATATTAAGTTAATTATGGCGGTGGGAATTTGGGGCATGCTCAACGGGACCGATTGGCAGTCACAGGGGGGGGGGAGTGGATAACGGCCACGCCCGCTCGTTTCAAGGTTCCGCTCCGCTCGCTTGGCGTTACCATTAAAAAAACCACGCGCTTCTTTTAAATTCAAGGCGATCGCTCTCGATTGAAGTAACTTTGCTTGTTGACGTCCAACAAGGCATCCGCCTCAGACTGATAACCTGCAGGAAGAGACCCCCTCCCCACCAAAGTAACAACACAGACCAGTGGTTTGAAACTTCTTTCACCGAGTACCGCCTCCAAAAATAAATTAATAAATATAAATGTAGTAAACTTGTTGCTTGTTATCCTGCTTGAGAATTAAAAACAGTGTCTCACCCATTTGCAGCAGGATTTTCTTCCATCGTGCTCTCACTTCTCGTCTGGTGTAGCGTAACGTATGGATGTCATAGTTCAGCTGTTCCCATTCCTTGGGCAAAAACACATATAAGATTGGTAAAAAAAGATTGGAAAATGTATCAAGGTAGGCATAAGCTCAGTTCTGTATCTCCTGTAAAAAAATTTTAAAAAAATGCTGTAAAAAAATGTTTAGAGTGACCTGTCAAAGCCACTAGATGGTGGAAAAGCGCCACTTTCCAATTCGGACACCAATGTCATTGTTTTTTGTGGGGGGCGGGGGTTGAGTAAAATTACTTTTTGTGTTTGTTTCTTTTTTGTTCTTTGTTTAACCAGGTACGTAACCAGAAAACCTGCCTTAAAGACTGCTCCTGCAGCTAGGTCGGCATTGCAAATGAAAATCAGTTTTCAATTGGGTTACGTGAATAAATAAAGGTGAAATATAAAATGTCAAACTTCAAAGTTGTGTTTGTCTGTTGATGTTTAAGATCCAGCAAGTATCAGTAATGAGTAATAAAGTACCGGCAAGTATCGGTACATTTTGGGTAATGTGGCGAAACGCTTCATGAGGCCTTATCCACCTATCTCAAGTTTCAAGAACAATTTCACTCCATCCTGAATGGATCAATTATAGCATGTGGGTCGCCTTTTATGATGTCATCGTGCTTGTTTGGGCTTTCATTTTTTTTTTTTTTTTTCTTGACTGGACTGAATTCGGGAATATCTGTTGGACTAGACTTGAAACCAACCCAGGCGTCTCACCTCTGTGGCCTTGTCAACCTGATTCCTCATGCTGATGAAAGCCTGCAGCTCTCGGTCCGATTCCCTTCTCGCGGATGAGGCGGCGCCTTTATTTCTCCTCAGGTTTTGCTGCGCGACCCACGGAGGCCCGGTTTCGAGCTGCCGGCCGAACGGAATCTCCTCCTCTGTGTCGTCATGGCTGCTTTCGTCGGACAGCTGCTCCGTTGTCTTGGAAGCTTTGGCCGTGTGCATGCTGCAAGGAGAGAATGGTGGGGGCAGGAATGAGGCCGGACCATTTTGAATTCAGAGACGAAGCCGCCGGCCAGCAGCTTACCGCAAACCGGCATTTTTCGTCCCCCTTTTGTACTTCAGATACAAGTGACAGCAGCACAGAGTCAAGCCGGCACCCATTTTTCCGCAAGTGTATTCTCACACGTCCTCCTCACGTACGTCTTGAGGCGTCTCTCCCCTTCGGTCCCGATTAACTCCGAATGTTTCCAACTCGAGTCTGCGTGTCGGAGGTTGAATACGAGCAGTGTCCGAACTCGTGTTTTTTTTTTTGGTGTGTGGGGCTGGGCTTTTGTTCGGAGTTAATGAAAGTATTATTTTGGTGGCATGTCGTGGAATATTGTTGTTGGGTGAAATGGATTGGTGGTGTTTGTCTTTTTTTCTGCACTTGAGATGTTCGATTTTGTTGGCGGTCCTTGAATGCCCAATTTTGTTGTACGGTGTTCAATGACAATAAAGATTCTAAATGTATTCTTGTGCACAAGTGAACCTTGACCGTGTGTGTGTGTGCGTGCGCTTGTGTGTGTGTGTGTGTGTGTGTGTGTTAAGGGCGTGGCCCTTTGAGGGAGCTGGCACGACGGTACGCCTCGGGTATAGCAGGCTTTTCTCCCGGGTGAAGTGCCGATTATCTGTTTTGTTTTTCTTTTAAACTCATCAAAATTAATTTTGCTCAAAATTATCAGTACTTCTGTTGCTCGGTTTGTCACTTCGGCAATTTTCTTCATTCATCTTTATACTCTTTGCTCAAGTTTGGGGAGTTGGGGTGAGTGGTTGTTGTCTGACAAATATCTATTTTAAGAAAATGAGAACATACCACTTTGGAAACAGGTCATTTTATTGTGCAATAAAGCCAGCTCACACACAAAGTATCACGACCACACAAACAACGCACCCCCCCAGCCGATAAAACATTGACCACCTCCCGGCGGGCACACTGCGCGCCGTGCTTCCGAACCCAGAAAAGCAGTCGGCGAGACAGTGTGTGCAGTGGCTGATGCGGGGGGCCTTCCACAATTCCTCCACCCCGACTCAGTGTGACGCACGGACAAAACTGTCGTTTTCTGTTGCACACATCACGACAGATTTGTAGATGCATATTCTTCCTGTACGAACACGAACAAATGAATGCAGAGTTAAAAGTGACACCGTGCACATTGTGAATGGATAGGAACAAAAGAGAGATCCTCTCAGGAAACAGTCGCAGCTTTATCAGGAGCGACCGACCCTCCGAGGTGACGGCAGAAAAAAGTACACGAGCACGACCCGCAGGCTCTGATCTCTCAGCCCGTAGATGAGAGAACTCAGACATCTGGGCAGCTGAAAAAAGCACACAAACAAAATGGCCTGAACTTGTGAGAAGTTGACGTGGTTCAACAAAGCATACATGAATAACATAATGGTGGAGTGAAAGACCGACAAGAGGCTGAGGCCGAGCTGCACCAGGTGCAGCAGCAGCGTGTTCCGCGCTTTATGGGCCGAGTGCTTGTCCGTGGCCGCCGACCTGGCTGACAACACCACACCGATGTAGCTGAAAACAATGGTCAGGCTTGCCGAGGTGAACAAGAAATACGTGTAAATGTTAGCGTACAATTCGGAAAGTGGCACGAGGAACATGGCGCTGTATCTGCACGGCTGCGTCATTTGCAGACTCTTCAGCTGCTCGAATGGAAACATGATCAATAAAAGCCCCTGGATGAGGATATTGAAGAAACAAAAAGCCCACACGGCAAGCACGGCCCACATGGTGTTCCTGACGGTGATGATGGAGGCGTGCCTGAGAGGGTGGCACACAGCCACGTATCTCTCCAGCGACATGACCACCAGCACCAAGGGAGACATCAGACTGAGGAGGCTGGTAAACATGCTGAGCACGCCGCACAAGGGATACGAGAGGGTGACGCGGGCG